AAGAAACGTAATTGCTTACATTTCTTGTGGTGTCATGCGAAATGAAGGGCATACATGAATGTCAAATTGTATGTGCAGTTTGTATGTATTATTTTCGGATTGAAAATAAAATATACCTATTACCATATCATTTATAGGAGCGATCCTACACAAATGCGTTTCACTTTCATTGAGACATCTTTCCAAAATGGGCAAGCCATTGTTCTGTGACTTTCTCCAACGAAAGGGTTATTCGGGTCTGAGAGACCCGAGTCCGAGAGACCCATATAGGGTCTCTAGTCCTATATAGTCCGAGACCACCTCCATCTTTCAGACAGGTCGCCGGTGAGCCGTATCCCGTTATTGTCTCTCGGCAGTCGCGACGATGATGCAATGTGGACCGTGGGCGTGGCAAGCATCCGTGATGACCTGATCAATGGCCGTACAAGAAAACGCATCCGGTGATTTACTGTTTGCTCAGGGGAAGGGGGATTACTGAAGCATTATAATAAATCATTTCCGTCCATGCATACACGCAGCTCTAACTGGGATGGCTGCTTGTTGTTATATTACACGTAGGAATATAGACGACCTATATGTGACATGACGTAATGTATACTGACATGACGTATGTTAGATCTCACGGGCGCTAAGGCGTAAAACATCCGTGACATGCGACCATGTTCGTGATATCTCACGATATCCGTGATTTTTCGTAATCTTTTAATCTTTGTTACATTTCGTTGATATGCTTCCCCATCAGACATAAATTATTTCCTTATTACGACATAATGATAAACGGCATCATTCTCTTCTCGGCCGACGAGGACTGCCCTGCTGAGGACGGCCGAGACACGGGAGTGGCGGGTCAAGGCACCTTCACGAGCATATCACATTTCGTGATCGCCCGTCACGTCAAATCTCGTTGTTCGTTACGTTCTGACTTCTGAGATTACCAGGGACGGAATCGGAGTGCAATAAGAGCAGTCTGCAACCGTGAGATTGACATGGCATGAACGTGATCTCGTGCTGCATTGAATGATCAATTAGTTTGTGACGAAAATTGTGATAGTATGCTAACCACAAAAGTGCCCCTTGGAAGAAAAATCACAGAAAACTGACCAGTTACTGGACGTCATAAGGACGACTTTAAATGGTATGCACCAAAATTACCGAGCGAAAACGCTAGAAAGATGCCTACCAACGAGAACATATTGTCCCGGCCTTGACAGGGAACTGCAGAATGCCTCGTTCCTGCACGCCCAAATGCGTGTAATTATTATGGAAGGCTTACGCCGTTTCCATGTGTATATGAAGCAAATTATATGCCGAACTGCAAAATGTCACGCAATACTTAATGGGCTCGGTACAAAATAGATCAACCTAAATGAATGTGCCAACAGCCTTGCAAGTTGTCTCGCAGAAACATGAATAACGCCGCCCAGCCGCTAAACATTCTCACCACAACGGAGGGAGGGCCGAAACATAAGTCATTAGGCGGCGGCAATAGGCGCTGATAACGTGACCCCCACCACTGCAAACGGGTCATTTGTTTTCACCCTCAGGTAGTGCTACCTCACATGAGTACCCTAGTTTCCACTTATACTTGCGTGACACAAATGTGCAATGTGCACGGTACGGTGATTCGGTGAGTTTCCCTCACCCGCTGCCTCATTTCGCTATTAACTCGCAATAGGTATGCATATTATGAGTTAGTGCAGATATTTCTTATTTGAAATGGTTTTGAGTGCGAGGCAAGTTCGGCGTTTGTTAGCGAGAAGGCCAGGTGGGAAGTTCGATGAGTTTCCAATGGAATCGCCTTACCCACATTCGCTAAGGAAAGATGCTCCAAAATTTATATAGAAGGCCTTCGGCATTGCCGTAGATAGGTACGATGCCGTTTGTTTCACCAATGGCATCTAACCAATGCGAACTGAATAGCATTTAAACCGTGCACTTGGTCGTAATTGTGGATAGTGTATAATCATAAACGATATTCGACAACGAGAAGGAATTTTGTGAAAAACAACGGGAACTTGAATGTCAAGCTTGGAATGTCACGTCAAGCAACACATTTATCGCGGTTATTATACAATGATGACCCCAACCGTACATCGGGTCATACATGAGCTGAGAAGCATCCCGTCCTTATTGCGCCACACTTCTGCACCGTCCACCCTTCTGACTCTTCATACGGCCTTGGTTCTAACCAAACCGAGCAACACCGGTGACAATAGATCACCGTCGGCCCCATCACACCCTTAGGTGGTCGCCAGCCTGGCCACTGGCCAGTCGCCCCCACCACAACAATAGTGGGACGGACAGGGGCCCTCGGATCTGGGACGGCGGCTAGGGCAACGGCAGGTGGTCACTTTAGAGGCCGCCAGTGGCGTTATAGGTTCTGGGAATCGATTCGGTGAGGCGTCGTAAAATGGCGGTGTGCGCGTGACACGAAGGCAGCGGAATGGGTAAACGGATGGGCAGTAAAGACAATCGGAACGAATGCGTTAATAAGGACGGCATGTCCCGGGCGCAAAGCGAGTTATGCTCGATTTTTAAGGACACATCAGGGAATTGAGTTTAGGTTATCGAATCCAATCAAATTGCGGCAATTAGGTAAGACAATAAAGCGAGCTTCAGTTCCTTTATATCAAAATGCAAGCGGTTTCCGAACAATGTGGGCCGACGAAATCTTTGACACAAAGCATTCCCGACCCGAAACATTATTGTACGTAGTTAGGTATTTATGCTCATAACTATTTGACACACAACCTACGACCGGAACAGTTGTCCAATCAAGCAGATGGCTGAAGTCTGAAACGATCAACCTTGCTAAATGTTTGAATGTTAAAACGAGGCACCAATCATTAACCCGCGCGGGGCTGGGGAGGGGTAAATTTTACCCCCCCTCGCGAATTTTTGCAATATCTCAAAAACGGCGGCACGCAGCGCCGCCAAACTTTCAGTACCTTTTCTTACATCAATTTGACACGTTCTCTGAAAATTTGAGCGAAATCCTTCGGATTTTTTTTTTTTTTGAGAAAATGACGTTAGTGACGTCATGTTCGCCATTTTCGCCTCAAAAACGGCAAAATTTCAAACGCCGCTAACATCTTCATTTTTAAGGGAATCAAGACGTAACAAAAAAAGTTACACGTGATTCTACTTAGCCTATCAAATGGCTATCTCGGTGTTTTGAAATTTTTTTTTTATTTTGGCCCTATTTAAAAAAACTGACTTTTTGGGAAAATAATTATAAAATCCAAAATTTTGCGTGTATAAAAAAACGGAATATATGTCAGAGAAGTGGTCCATGTGCACCTACATACCAATCCTCAGCAGAATCGGTTCAAAAATGTGGGAGTTATTCAAAATTTTATGACGTAACGACAAACAATTTTTTTTAATGATTTTTTTTTTTTGGAAGTTCTAGACCTCGTACGGAAACAAAAATAGTATCATTCGATTCGCCGTCCAAAAACTGCATCAGATAGACATCTTTTTAGGCCTTAACAACCAACTTCAAAATGTGACCTCACTTGACCTGACCTTGACCTGACCTCGACCTGAAATTCATCCAGATGTGGTCCATATCACTTATTGAGTGTGCCTATTGAATTATATGAATAAAATGACCCATAAAACATGTGTCGCACATGCCCTTTTCTATTTTTTTTTTGGTGACCTGACCTGACCTGACATGACCTTGATCTTGACCTCTGAATGATATTGTACGCAACGAATATTGTCTTGATAGTCTAAGAACACGTTTTTGGCAATCAGTCTCAGTCCATGACTCTATTCTTCGGCAACTACGGTGCAAGGCCGATACTGTAGAAACTTGCAATTTGTATCCCTGACCTTGACCTCAAACTTTAAATTAAGTACATGTTTTTAGTTGTTCGTGATGAGATCTTTCGATTGGCGTTTGAATTTTCCAAATCGGACCATTAGTTCGGGAGATAACAGGGGGGGGGTAAAATTTACCCCCCCCCCCCCAGCCCCGCGCGTTCGGCTGGAGACCCCAGCCCCGCGCGGGTTAAGGTTGGTAGCCGGTGGGTAATGGGCATCTCCTTATAACATATTTCATAAATATAAAATTAGCTAATAATATATTGTAATTAAAGCCGATGACATGCTATGTAGTCTCGTGCAAGCAAAGTAGGGGGATCAAACACTTGTGGCTACCTACTTTGCCCCCTTCTCATGATTCACCTTCAGACTCTGCCTGCATATCAAGCACCGCACCTCGTCCCCATTCCAGTTGAGGCCATGGGTCCGGTCTGCGAGAGCAGACGCCCGCCACTAGCCTTCCAAATATCAGACATCAGGCCGAGGTCATACAAACAAAAACAATTGGCAGTTGGCACGCACATAAAGTAATCTTGCGCACATACGCAGTCGGCATTAACCGAAGAATGCGAATGCATTTATCCATGCGAGGGCAGCGACCAATTCATCTCTCTGTAAGTTTGCGTTCTCAATGACAGGCACAATCCTCCGGAAATGACGAATGGAAGGGATTGTATAGAACTTGGATAACTGTGAATACGAGTCGGCAGCCCGAAGAAGCCTGATGAACTTGACCCTCAGAACAGTCGAAAAGGCACTCTCCGCTCTCTTTCAGACGCATGCACATAACTCTGAGCCACTCGTCTGGAGGAACTGACAAGGCCATTCGAGCAGCACTTCACAATGGCCGGGCATTGTGACATACGGGACTCCGAAATAGTCATGTCCCGGTAGTTCCCACTTCGGCCAGTCACGAATACGCAGAGTGATGACTCCTTCACCAGCTTCCACCTCTATCCTCCTTCGAATCGCGAATGAGACTTGGCGCACGGCAACTGTTCGCATTATCGTAGCTCGAACGTTGTTTCTATTGCAGTTTTAGCGAGCAACCACCCCCTTCTACAGCTCACATATCTGGCCTCCCTGCCCGACGACCATCAGTCGTACCGACCGCTGCATTACACCAACACACCAGAACTAGGTCCTTGGCTTATGAATAATAAACGGTATCCCTGCCATCACCTTTATTTTGAGAGTCATTTTATACAAATAGGTACAAAATCACAGCTGCAATGCATGTAACCATACGTCGGTCTGAGCAATAACAACTGGGAAAATAAAGGTGAATAAATCAAAACACGTCCCGGAACATTTCGAGCAGTATGAAACATGTGTCATCCTTCAATTAACGGCACAGATCTGCAGCCATACGTTTCATCATCAGATCTAACAGCACGCAGCATAGAAACACACATTTAACAGTCAACCATCTTCAGTTGAATCCATAGTGATCTGTTGTAAAGAAAAAATAACAAGTAAAGTGGTCCACCAATTTTTCGTTTCAGATCATTGGCTCCATTGAAAACAGTTCAAACAAAACAGCTAGAAAATAATCGTTGTTCCTAGTTTCACGAGACCTGAGCCCGTTGTGAAGAGTCGTCAGATCTATATCATCATATACTCAACCAGCCAATGGCGGTACGAGAACCTGTGACGCGGCACCCGTCCAGCCAATAGCGGCACAGGAACCTGTGACGTGGCACCCATCTAGCTAATCAGAACTCCCAGGAGTCCATCCAGAGGAGGTGGTCGTACCGATGACCTGGCTCTTTCTTCTCCGGACCGCTCATACCGTACGTGAGCGGTGCAAACAGGTAGAAACTGCAGGATAGAAACATAGGCAGTCTTACAAACTGTTCAGTGTAGTACGGACCAAAAACATGGTACAATAGTCCACCTTTCCATTGCTCGCTGGTAAATAAATTTAACTAAAATCCTGAAATTAAATGTAACAGCTTCGTTGTGACCGTTCCAGTCTACGAAGAATCAATATTCATGACTTAGAATTGCACTTTCTAAAAAACAGCAACAAAAAGTTACTTAAAATCGACCATATGTGACAATCCCGTATGGAAGGAGCGACTGCGTAAATCACCTGTAGGTCAGGATGGACAGGTAGACGACTGCGAACGCCGTCCAGGTCTGGTCCACCCGGAACGAGGGCACCGCGCGTGGCAGACTCTCCAGCATGTAGTTGACGAGAACGCCTGCGAACGGAGGTCGGTAGGAGTTAGTGGTAAGTAAGACGACAGTAGTAGATTCGGGTTCACGGTAGTGTGGCCGGGAGAGACCACGGTCAGGATAGTGTTGCTCTACGGTTGTGCGATACGTATGACGTAGGGTACAATACTGAAGCGCAACAGTCACATGCCATGGCGATTACTTTATACGGCTCATGCGCTACTCAGGAGCCCATTCAAATAACAAACCATTTACTTCAGTCAGTTTTCGCCCACACAAACGAACTTTCTTAGCACCCGACATTGACGAATAGCACACGCATTCAAACACTTAACGATCCTGCACTCTCCATCAATCTATCGCAAGCCCATTGTCTATCCACGCGACAGACTTTCAGCAATTCTAGGCAGACTTTCGGAGAAGAGACTCTTCAGCCTGCCTATTGTTACCAAAATATCAACTGCCCGTTGATAACCATAAAATAAATGGGAGAGATCGAATGTCAAACTATACGTCTCGCCAGCCAGTAGTGAAGCCATTAAAATTCCCGACACCTTAATCCAAGGACCAGTCGGGACTGAGAGCCGCACGCAGTGCGTGCTCCGTCCAAACTCCCTGTGTTTAAGAGTGAAAAGCCATCCGCGGGGCCACTTAGTACACTGCGAATACAGGTTACTCTGCTTTACAGTGTGAGGACTGAGGACACCGTGTGTGGTGTGAGCTGCGCTGACTGCAGCCACAGTGTACAGCGCGGGCGGGACAATGCGTCAACCCATGGTCGTCTAATGTCTTCTGCTGGTCTGTGCTGAAGCAAGTGTCAGTCATTCAACCAGACTTGACCGTGGCATGCGGTCAGTCTCGTCCTTGCTTGACCCGCAGCAGCCGGCTTCAGTCTCGTCCCAGCCTGCCTCACCGCAGTCGGCCCGCACCGACCATCTAATGTCGTCCCTGCCGCAGCGCCACCTAGCCCTGGCGGCCGGTATCGCCGCTCTCAGTCTGGCGGCGCTGATTGGAGCCATCACTCTCCTCTCTCTGACCATTCAACCAGACACAGCACGGGCTGGTGACTTCAACCCCGCGCCTCAGGTGACGGAGCCGGACCCTTCAACAACCCTCAGCCCAGCCCCGGATCTTACGATCGATCCCGGAGAGATGGAAGGACTGAGCTTCTGTTCCGTGCCGGATACCGCAGACGGTTGCCCGCCCGGACAGTACTGTGCTCGCACGCGAGGTGTCAGTGTGTTTGTGTGCGCGAGACAGGTGGACAGAGGCTCGCTGTGTTACTACGACTATCAGTGTAAGTCAGGCCACTGCGAGCCCGTTTACCCCATCGGAAGGTGTTTGTAGCTTGTACCAGTGATGAAATAAATGTCAAACATATGTATGTAGGACTAGGGCAACAGGTTTCATCATACATAGGCATCAACGGGGATTCCCAATAGACATAAGACAACCACTGCATATGCTATGTGCATTCGACCGAAACAGTACATCTGAGCACGACTAGCATCCCTATTCATGTCGTCCGACCACCGACCGTGTGGCAAGATCACTCATCAGACACTAGCCATGAGAGACCCAACAGACTCCGTAGTCATAAAGTAATCACTGGAGACCAGCGTCGTAAAAGACCCGCAAGTCGCGAGACATCATCTCAACAAATGACTCATCCGGACATCATAAAAGACACAGCAGACATCACAAACCACTCAACCTGACATACGAGATTATGCAAACCACGCTGCAAGTGACAGTTATACCGATTCACATCCACGGCTGGAGATCAGCGCGAAAAGTAATCCATTTGTTCGGCTCGTAATCTCCACGAATGACTGAACGGACATCCACTACATAAATACCCCACCCGATATCATGAAACACTCAACTGGGTATCAACAACGTCTCTGAAAGACTCACCGGACATCATAGAGATGAAGAGCTGTGCCGGGAAGTAGTGGTGGTAGTAGAGGATGCGGCCCATCCCGTAGAAGGGAAAGTAGTGCAGCGCCCAGGCCAGCATCAGCCAGTTGCACGCGTAAGTCAGGTTCGCCTTACGCACTGCAGGGAGACGAGGGAGTCAGTCAGAGGCGAGACACATGTTCGCCCCTTTTAATTAACGACATCAGACACAACAGTTCCCTGCGTTAAACGTCAAGTTCATACTTGCTCATCAACGATTCCTCAAAGGTCGCCTAAATTTTGTTACCCAACAGATGAATAAGAAGGTAACAGGGGAGTTTTATTTCATCCCAATACTTCACCAAACCCATGGTGAGCTAATCCAACGTCCCTGACCGTTCCCGTTTCATCGGCTCCCCTCGTGGCTTCCCTGCCCGGCGCTGCAGTTCGACTCACCCCTCTCCTGCGCCGACTCCCTGACGCCGCGCGCAGAGCTGACAAAGTTCCACACGTAAATGACGGCGTAGAGCGCGATGAAGCCCAGGTTACCCCACCAGATGACCGGGTTGCCCATCATGTAGATGCGGATCTCGTGGTCCTTGTGCGGCCCCGGCTCCCGCTTGTCGGGGTCGCCGATACTGAACCACTGACCCTGTGGAAAAGAGGAAATTGGTTAGTCTGGAGTGGGTCAAATTCACGGACCAATGTCGTAAGAATTGGCCCGGTTGGACAAATTAAAGATACCTTGCCAGATGAAATATACTATTAGGGTGGCTGAACTGCACTACCAGAATGGTATTGTGGCACAAGACAAGCATCGCTGCTATTCCTCTATCCCAGGCTACTAATCAGCAAATCCTGAATCAGTGACCAGAGTCCATGTCGTTGACAAACTACGCATCAATGACTCGTGCATAGCTTAGCGAGCCAACCCACGTCACTGAATAGCGACCCATTGACACAGTACATGCCAATGATCTGGTGCTCCAGTGACCTGTGACGGGTAACCCAGTTTATGTCACTGACCTGATAATCGATGGGCCACTGCCACGGTCGCGAGGTGACCTCGCCTTCCTTAGGCTTCAATCCAGCATTACCCTGGAACTGAACCATGTGCGCCTCGAAGAACTTCTCCAGGAAACTCGGTTGGTAAATGGCAAAACTGACATTCGGCACTGGAACGGAAAAAATCGCGAGTCAGAACGGGTACACATTGCACAACACACAGGAAGCAAACTTAGCCTGCATGCACTACATGATGAGATACTTAATTGCAGACAGCTCTCCATCATTATTTCATTCATCTCATCAATTCCACCTCAACATAGGTGACTCACATTTATCATAGTAGTTCTCCTCGAAGTTCCAGAGCGCGAACTCGGCGCGTGTGTTGGGGTTGCACGTGACCTCTTGCTGCTCGTATCCCCACTTGGGCAGCTGTTTGTTATGTGAGAAGAGCGCACAGCCCACCATGTAGTGGATGAGACGGAACCGGTCCGTCACCACGTTAATCTGGTCACCCTCCTTGCCGTCCACCAGCTCGATACGCCACACGTCGTTGCTGTCGCCAGTGCCGTTCTCGCCATAACCTGACACCTGGCGGGAGAATTAGGAGATAGAGGTTATAGAGTTGTCAGTAGGTGGCGAAACCATTATCTGACGTTCGGCAGCTCAAAGAGCTTCTGAGAAAATACGAGAGCCGAGAGGACTGCAGTCTAACGCACCGTTCCATGCTTCTATCCTCAGGATACGTAAATCCTTCTCCTCCACGCCGCAACCCCCTTCCGGGCTGGACAGGCAACTTTATCTCATGCGGGCTGCTCCCTTGGAGCGGCACCGCTGCTCCCGAGGGAGCGCACCCCGTAGCCGGGTGCAGTGAGTACCTTGGGGCTGGTCGGCCTGTCCTTCGGGATGGGCTCAGCCCCGGTGACTCACTAGGGTGCCTGCCCAGACCAATGTCTCCCCCTAATTCCTATCATCCTTCCGGCTCTGAAATGGTCTAATTGGACCGAAAAGGCCTAACCCAACAAAACAAAAAACAAACAAACAAACAAACAGTCTAACGCCAAGTAGGCTTTAGAAAACGACCGTCACTATTTTCGAACCAAGTGCAAATCTGATCCTTTTCCCCGGATACTTTTCGTACAAAGCCATATTCAAATTACTACCATCACTCCAGTCCCTGGAAATTGCGAGTTTCACAACAGGAATCGCATTAACTTAGCTAAAATTAGACCAAGATCAGCCACCGACAAACAAATAATTAAAAGCAAAACACCAGAACCTCTAAAGATCCTCTCTGAGATTGATGCACCGAAACTGGCCGACCGCCTCAGCGCTCATCCCCTAACTCAGCTGACCTGGAAGTGTCGTTTGGTGACTGGCGCCGGGTGCCGGTGACTGTGCAGGTTCCGTGACGTGGCCTCGTGCTCCAGCCTGATCAGGTCACCCGATTTGACACACTCGGGTTTGAAGTCGGGCTGGGCTTCCTCCTCCTCCGAAGGCATGTCCACGTCATAGCGCTTCACCAGCCTAATGGATAAAGGAATGACACAGCGTAAACATTCTGTACCGGCATGTCTGTTGCCCAATGCCCAGTGCCCACCCACAGCTAGTGTCCCATCCCATAGCTATAGCACTTTGGCTATTATAATTTATTCACACAGAGTTCTTCTGTGAACTAATGGACGTAACTTACGTATGCAAAGTGACCCTGATACTTTATTACCTGCCCGTTAAAATGACATCTTAACTATTATGCAACAATAAGTTATGCCGGTCCCTAGCTGGCCTGTCACCCATCGCAAACACCCAACTCCCAGCATCCGCCGCACCGTCAATCGTCCCACTGACCAGATGTTGTTGTAGTCCTTGTGTGAGTAGGTGGTGACCTGCTGCTGAACGGGACCCGCCTCCGGGGGGTAGAGGTGGGGGTGGGAGTGGAGGTAGGCGCCGGCCGTTCGGTGGTTCTTCAGGGTCACACCGGCGCCGTAACAGATCTCCCTGTGGTCAGAGGAGGGGAGAGACGGGGCATCGGTCAGCAAGAGTTTTGAAGAACAAAAGTACCGCCTGGTAGGTCTGCAGTGATGCAGGACATGACGCCTACATTGTAGATGAATTCAACTCATAATTGAACAAATGAGTGTTGTTAAAGCCTGCCAAATAAGGGCGCTTGACGAGATTCAATCACACAACACAAAAAAATGGAAACTTATCCAAATTGAGACACACAATGCTTAGCAAAGTGCTTGGGAAGTTGGCTGCAATATTGTCATCATGTTGGCCACTGATCATGAAGACATCGCACAAGTTGCCTGAGCGCACTCCTTCGAAGCTCATGTTCTTCTCATTGCATCACTGACCTGGGCATGCTGGCGTTGTGCAGCGAGTTCCCCTCCAGCTGACTCTGGAAGGCCGAGCCGAAGTGGCCGTCTCCCGGGCCCGACTTGGAGAGCACCGTGAAGTGGACGTAGTAGGCGAACATGTACAACACCGTGGGCAGCAGGATCAGACACAGCGCGCGCGCCAGGAAGTGCTTCACCGTGTAGGTGATGGGGTGCGAGAGGTCGCCGAGGATGTCCCAGATGTCTTTGATGGTGTACAGGCCGACCAGCACGACCACGAAGAGGCCGACGAACTTGACGGAGATGGCGCCGGCCAGCATGGCGCCCGTGAACGCCATCCAGCTCCACCAGGAGACGGTGAATGGGCTGGAAACACACAGCAGCACTCAGAGTCAGCAGGACGTCAACGGAACATCAACATTCGACGGGCTCACAGCAAAGAGGATTACTGTCATTTTTTTTTTTGCACTGAGAAATCTGTAATCGTCCACAAATGAAGAACAAAGCAAAAATGAAAATATATAAGTTGAGAGCTTCGGAAAATCAACGAGTCAAAGGACAATGAACAAACCATCGGGTAGCAAAACTGAGCAAAATGAGGAATCGCAGGTATAATAGTAAAATGCATGACTTATCTCTCATCTTTCAGAAAAGCGTTCAGCGTCAGACCCTACATAGATGGGGCGTGCTGACTCAAACGCAAATATCAACATTAGGATGCGAAAAATGTAAACTACAGGGACGATATCTCAATGTCAGCAAAATTGGCAAGGCAAGAGGAATGAATAATGCATTCCACCAAATCCACATTATGCATTCCACCAAATAATGCATTCCACCAAATCCACATTATTTGGCGCCGTTCCAGCGGCAATGTCACGGGCGAAACTCGTCGTTCAAACGTGAAGCTATCTATGGCGAGTCATACTTTCTCCCGACCTGTTTAGCATCTGTATTCTGCGCTATCAGTTTAGGTGAGCGTCATGGATGGGATGTTTGAAAGGAATGCGCAATGCGCGCGGTCATACGCGCTACCAATATGCGCTGCACTGGGTGACGGCGAATGCCGGGGAAGCTACGGAGCATCGCAATGTGCCAGGTTGAAGTGAAACGATGATGAGTTTTGATAAGTCTCCACGACACACTTGTGTTCTGTGCAGTGCGGTGCACACGTGTGCACAAGTGCATTGCCGTCAGCAGCTGCAGCCAGTGTCAACGAGAGCCGGGGAACCAGAATGATGAAAACAAAACAGACGGGCAAGTGGCACGCTATATTTGTGAAGCAAAAAGGTCGAGCGATATTTCGTATTTACAGGTAACAGCGAAACTTTGGCCGGTTCTTAATCATGCTCAGAATGCCTATTGGCGTCTTAAAAATAGCACATTCCAATGCTAGTGAGAACAGAGATATTTTCGTGCAGGCCAATGTCAACTCTTAACAAGTCGAGCACCGTCCGATAATGTCCGAACTTCATCCCAGCTCCAGATTGCACCGATACCAGAACGGGTAGCGTGCAAGAAGCATCCTCCAAAGACCGGTTGTGATGACATCAACCGGTCTCTCTCTCATCCTCACGGACGGCGGGTTTTTCTCGCCGGATGAGTGGTCGCAGCTGTGGTGCAATCAACAGTCCACAAGCAACACCACCCCCGCTGCCAAGCAAAGCCGACAGGGCATGGAGAGGGAACTGTTTAATCGAAAGCACAAACACAAACTGGTGGGTGGCAAACACGATCGGAGCATGAATATTCCATTTGTAAACCAGTGAACCAACAACATGACACAATACCGTGGCTAACAGACAGAGTTGTCTTGTTACATTCCGGGTTGTTGGCGAACACCACGACAAACGAACGTTAGGTGAAGATCATCTGCGAGAGCACTGGCAGTCGGACGTCAGCCCACTGCAGACCCGTTCTCGCTCCTCATCTCGCTGCTAGTCGACTAGGAATGTGACGGGACAGCCCCACCGCGGCCCCGCGACTCCGCGGAGTGACGGTAATCCCTCGATGAGACCGATTTGAGGTGCCCTTCACCTACGCTCGACCGGCCCGCCCGCGTCTCTGTCCACCTGGCCCAGTGCCCCGGCCCGCTATGAGCCTCGGAGAGGTCTGAGAGGACCGTTGGACAGCTACCCCGCCGCGATATCGAGGGACGCCGCGTGGGACGTGCGGGCTCTGCCGATGTATCTATCTAGCCTTACTTTACTTCATCAAGGCAGCCAGGTACCTAAATGTAGGACAAAGCTACTGATGGATGTGGCCTTTTAAGTCGCTATCAAAGTCGCTATGGCAAATTATACATAGAAACCACGATTTCGAGCATGGTCACTGGCACTGTCGAATATGTGTAATGCAAATTGAAAGACAACAAAACACAAAAATGGGCAGATAAAACTTTATTGACGCTTTTTTAATCATTAAATTGGCACAACACGATTCAAATGTGATAAAACATTCCAAAATCAGGAACTGTAGGTATACATGTCTTTATGTGACATCCGTCGCCGGGTGCATCGTTGCACAGTCGAGGCGGCGTGCAACCCTCCCACCGCGCTGATTACCGCCCGGCCGTCCAGCCTTCCATTCTCGGCCGGCGACGGGCACCGTTCACAGCAGTAGCAACGGTCACGCCGGCGGCGGACAGCGACGGACGGCGCCGGCGAATCCTCCACCCGAGACGCGCCGCGCCGGTCGGGTCAACGTCCGCCCACCGGCCGCTTTTCCAGCGCACCTAGCCCGGGTCGGCGGCTGGCTGGAGGCCGACCGTGGGTCGCTCCGGCCATCAGCCGGACCTATCTCTGGCCACCAGCCGATCCTCTAACCCGACCCTCTCCGGTGATGGCTGACCTCTCTGGTGCTCTACCAGTAACCGACACAATTACCATTCGTTCCTTTCTTGGTTCGTTTGAGCGGCGAGATTTTACGCTTCCAGATATTTTTCGTTTTAACATTTTTTGTTGCATGATTTCACTTTCAGTCATGCCGCTGATCTGTGGACACGCTTCTTCTATATAAGAAATTCATTCGTTTAGCTCGTCATATTTTTCATCGCTATCCCCTTGTCGTCGTTGCATAATCGGTTTCTTGCTGCATCGACCGCGGTTTAAATTTTATCGGCCAAAAAGTTTTAAATCAAAATTATCACAAGAAGAGTTTCTATGGACAAAAATGTATGTAAAAATGCTAATATAGCCGGTACTTCCCATAATCAAACTTTGAAATCATTAGAATTTCCTGAGTGTAACAAAGCCCAAAAAACTACATAAAATGTTCGTCATGCAGTGAGCACCAACATTCCGCTATCAAACAAACCTCTCGTTCACGTAAGACCTCTATCAGACCAAAATCCACTCATATCTCCGACTGTCACCCACCCCTCTCTCCGGATATTACCCGCCCCTCTCTCCGGCCTCTCACGGTCTCGGTCGACCGACCGCCGCGCCGCACTATAGGCCGGCAGCCCGAAAAAGCGCTAGAAATTCCCCCAAACTGACTGTCCGCAATATGAACAAAATAGGTATCATTTAATCCCAAATTGATCGAAGAATACTATTCCGATGCCAGTTTTTCCCTAAGGTCAAAATTGAGGTCGTCAGTTGTCACCAAACACAAGACAATTTAGACTCTCTAGTGGCCACCACATTTACCGATTTTCATGATGATCTTTAGTGGTAATATATTAGCTGACCAATCGTCGTTTTGAACGAAATTTCCTGTCAGACTAGTTCAGGGCACTGTTGTTCACTGTGCCAACATCATTCTTACATATTGCATCGCTTTTCTGCAAGATAAGCTAGTTTTTTGCAAGCAGCTGCAAGACGTAAATAAAAATCATATCTAATTTTTTAATTACACTTTTATAAAAAATGTGATTTCGAGCGGCTAAAAATCAACATTTTATACTAGCCTCTGATTACTCATCTTTCGTTCCATATAGGTGCTTTGCTGCTTTTCCCTGTTACTTTTCGAGATATGCGCCAGTAAACCACATGATGTAGGGGCAATTGTCACCTCGCCGCTCTACTGAAGGCCCAGCGCTCTTTAAAGCGCTGGAAGTTGTGAAAAACAAACGCGTATAATCTGAATAAAATATATGTCCCTGAGCTCAGAATTGATCAACGCACACAATGCTGTCAAAAATTTTGGGCCAAACTCAAAAATTCAGTCATTATTAACCCCCAAACACAAGTCAGTGATAATCAACAACAACTTGCTCTTTAGTTAGACTTCTTGAGAAATGTCATTTCGAGCCGCTAAAAATGACCATGCCATACAAACCACTAATCATCTTTCTGTCATGCCCTACTCGCAATTTTTGCTAATGCCTGCTACTCTTCGAGGTCACGTGACCTCACCATTAAAAGTAAATGGGGAAATAAGGAAACTGTTGTTTTTGCACATGGAATGATCTCAAACTGTCTCAAGCACACGGAATCGTGAATTCATGCACTCCTTGCAAGATCCGATGCTTTACTTTTGCATTTTTGACCTTCCGTGACGTCATTTATGACGTCACTATGGTCATAGGAGTTTCTCGTCAATAACTCATGATCAAATTGAGCCAGCGACTCGGGAAAGCCACCAATGGACTCGGAAAGACCTCCCGAATCGAATGCTACGCAATACGACTTCCTTCGATTAAGTTCGTGGCCTGATGGGCTCTGACCTGACCTTGACTCGAGGTCAACACCTTAAGTTGACCTCACCCGGACAAAAAGTATACCATTCGACGCGCCTGAGCCAGGCGAACACGATGGTGCCAAAATCGCTGCTCTGCGACCATTTTTTTGCGAAATTATTTACCAAAACCAAACCCTACCTTGGGCTTTTTTACTTCACCTCAGAGGTTACCGGTTGACCTGGGACCTTAAAATCGGGTATCAATCGTTCCGTCTTGAAACGGCGCACACGCTTGTTTTTTCCGCGAGGCTCTAGCTCCATTAGGGGCGAAACGGCGAAAAGGGGTCGTACCAACCCTCCCCCCTCGGCCGGCCGAGGGGGTGGGGGGTCCGACAATAGGTCCGGCGAGGGTTAAGCAGCCCCACTTCGTTTTTAGCATGTTTGCTTGTCACTGAGATCAACAACTCAATCACAAATAATTTCTAGCACTTTTCCGGGCCCCCGGCCCAGTGTGCGCCGGCGGCGAAAGTACGATGAGGCCCCACCGGGCGACGGCCGGTCATCCGCTCTCTACCGGCACAGCGGCCGGCGAAACGGTACCGAGACGGCCCAGTCCCTAGCGGATCGGGACGAGCGGAAAAGGCTAAACGGGGTGTCCGATGGAATGGAAACGAGCGCACCTTCTGTCGGGATGTCCGTGCATTTCAAACTTGCTTGAGAAGAAGAGAGTAAGTCAGCAGCAAATTGCAAAGACCAGGGATGTCTGACTCCTGACTCGGTATGTCGGCGTTAGATATGTGTGATAAAGCAGATAGGTATACAAAGGTATGAGTGCGAACGCCGTAACTGTGTTAAAGCTTGCCGAAATCGTACTGCATTCCGGCATCTTGAGGGAAAAGGGCTGACAGCAAAAAGAGGTTGCATCACAGCAGCAAGAGTGAGGCGGTCTCGGGTGATGATTTTAGACAGCGGTTAGAAACAGTGTTGTGCCAGCGCTGGCTGGGTGGCTCCGCCAAGTTTTACCGAACCGAAGTCGGAACGTCCGCCACAGACGGGGGGGGGGGGGGGGGTTGCAGCTGCTGTGCAACAACCATTGTGGAATGGACGGTCGCTGACTTTGGCACGCGCCTACAAAGCGGAAAATGATTGTGCGATTACAATAGGTTCCCTCAGATCCAACTTTGCCAATAATAATATCAGTCTGAGAGAGGAACAAATGAAACGGCGAAAATTGTGTCTTTCAGTAAAAAGTAAAAAGCCTAGGCCTAGATTATTTTCCTTGTTAATATATATATTTTTGTGCTAAAAATCGTTGAGTAAGGACGGCAGAGCCAAAGGCGTGAGGGTCCCTACTCCCTTTCCTTACAGATAGGTAACTTTTTGGGGTCAGGAACGTATTCTGCTCGATAAAATTTAAGGAGCAGTCAGTGAGACTTACAAAACGCATTCAACAGAAGAATTTATACAACAAGTTCCCTTTTTATCAAAAGTTAGAGCTATTACGGTATGCCTACCATGCAAATCTATGAATTTTGGGCACCAGTCCCCCTGTAGCCTGTAGTGTTTACACTCTTCGGAAGAGCAGACCACTGTCAAACATTCTTCGCAGGGTCACTGGGACTTCCCAAGAGTGATATGAAAGCCTCGGCTTCACTGACCCCACACTGCAGCGATGTTCCAACATCCCTTAACATCTCAAACGACAGAGACATGTGTTTTGGAGTGAACGTCACGGGTAGCAGTAACAATCGAATCTCAATTTCAGCATCAACCCGCCCAATATCTTCCTTGACTCACATGAATAATGCACTCAGCCGCCGAACCCTGCTGGCTTCCAAACGACAGGCACAGGTGTCAGCCATCGGCAGGTGGACAGGCGCCCTCATCGGGTGACTAGCTCCAACAGAAGCGCGAGACCCCGGTCCTGACCAGCAACAATACCGTCGGTTATCCCAGAGGCTACCCGACCCGACCAGTCGACGCTGACCCGTCGATATCGGGCGTATTTTTAGTCGGCGCCGCTGCTGGAACTCTGGATGTGCCGAGGTCAGGCGGTGGTACGATTCAGCCCCACCGAAGGACCACCCCAGACTCGGCGCTGGGACGCCGAGGGGCGCGCATCGGTGCCGGATACCTCCGGCCACGAGGGTCAAACCCTTCCTCTCAGAACAGTTCCGGGTCACGGAACTTTGGCACACCTGACCCCGAAAATAAGTCACATTACCGGAAGCTTAGCGCAAGGAAGACAACTTTGAAGTGCTGGACATTTAGAAACACCTGTGGGCAGTGAAGTGCCTCAACGCGCAGACTAAACGTGTCACCGAGTTCTGCGGCTTTCCTAACTGACGTGTCGTCCGACCGTTCGGAACCCGTCCGCGCCGGAGAACGCGCCGGCCCCAAGAGTGCCGCACTCTGTCTCTGCTGCTCTAGGCTTCGTCTGGGTTTGACTCCGAAACCATCTGCCGCCCGGGGCGCCTGACTCAGAAACCGCCACCATGTTCGCCGCCGTACTCTGCCTCGTGTCCATGGTGGCGTTCATCTACGCCACGTGGCAGCGACTCCGCACCCAGCCGCCAGGTAAGACCGCCAGCCGGCACGGGACGAGACGGAGCGGGACGGGACGACTTTCTCCTCATGATGATGCACCCGCTGCGGGCCCAGACTCGCCGGGGGGGGGGGGGGGGGGAGGAGGGAGCCGCGGTAGCCGAACGGTCACGAATACTTTCGCCGCGCGTCATGTGGATCTCTAGTCGCAGTCTGGCAAGTTTTGCCATACAGTCGATGATCGTGATTGGTAATAATGTTGGATCACAAACAGAACTAGTTTTTAGTTATGGCCAAACCCTAAGGGAAACTATGAAACGAGACCGGTGTTCTGAATGAATAATACCTACCTATTATGATTCAGTTGCAGATATGATGGTTGATTTCGTGAATAATATTTTTTTTAAAAAAAATACGTCATTAGCTTGCTTTTATGCTGAAAAATACATCCCATTAGAAAAATATGAAATTCACAAAGCAGTATTAAATTTCTATAGCACGAAAACGGCACACTACATGTCAAAACGAGCCAAATAGTGCCTCATGACCCGCTCAGTGCTCGATTCCGTTCCAAAGTTTTGAGCCAGCACCTCGTTGTAAAACTAAAGGGAGTATTTAACTGCGTCTGCAATGTGCCAGCAGGAGCAGCTTTAATTGGCTGTGTCCTTAGGAACTGGCGGATCCGGAAAGGGGTCTTGTACACTGCAGGGGAATACCCCGCAAAAAGTTTCTCCAATTTCCAAAAACTACCCGGATTTCGATTTCTTACGCACTACTGAGCGGTGTAAAAACAAACGTTTTCTAATAAAGTTTTTTATCCTCGAAAACCCGCAAAATTTTGTCGATTTTGGGCGCCGCGGGAGGTGGGCATTTGCCCGAAATGCCTCCCCTGGATCTGCCAGCATCCTTAGGAGTTGTTTAGGAAGATGAGATTCGAGTCTCATTTCTGTCAGTTGAGTATCCGGAAGCATGCCTGTGTGACGGTTTTGAGTCTAAGATAGCGTCTCTGAAACGGTCCAGTCTATCTGATAGCATCTTTGTGAAGGTTTCGAGGCTTTGGTGGCGTGTCTATGACAAAATCAAGTCCATCGTAGCCTGTCTGCAGCAGATTCGAGTCTCTGATAGCGTCTCTGTAACAATATCCAGTCTCTGGTAGCGTCTCTATAACAACTGTCTGTCGTTGCCATACATTGTTCAATGTGTGATCCCAAATTATATTCAATAAACGGAACGGAACGTTGCAGGGTCCTGGAGCCTGCCCGTGGTCTCTTGTAGTGTTTGTGACCATTGCCTGTCGTTGCAGGGCCCTGGGGCCTGCTCGTGGCCCCTGGTAACGTCTGTGACAGTTTCTAGTCTCTGGTAGCGTTTCTATTATGGCTGTCTGCAGTTGCAGGGCCCTGGGGTCTGCCCGTGGTCTCCGATGACATCCTTATGACCGGACTGAGTCTCTGGTAGCGTCTCTGTGACCGTTGTCTGCCGTTGCAGGACCCTGGGGCCTGCCCGCGGTCTCTAGTAGCGTCTGTAACAGTTCCCAGTCTCTGGTAGCGTCTCTGTGACCGTTGTCTGCCGTTGCATTGCAGGACCCTGGGGTCTGCCGGTGGTCGGCCACCTGCTGCAGATGGACCAGAAGGCACCCCACGAGCCGCTGGCGCGCTGGGCCGCCCAGTACGGCTCCATCTTCCAGGTGCGTATGGGCGAGCTGCCCATCGTGGCCGTCTCCTGTCCCAGCATGCTCGGCGACCTCCTGGCCCGGAACGAGGTGACCGGCCGGCCGGACACTCCGTCCCGCCGTCTGCTGCTGGCCGGGGGACGGCGTGAGGGTATCACTCAGGCCGATAACGAGCTCTGGGGCGAGACGCGGCGCCTGCTGACCGTGCAACTGGAGGGGCTCGGCGGAGAGGGACACTCGAAGTTGGAGCGCTCCATTCAGAGGATGGCCGACGAGTTTTGCGGCACCTTCCTGGCCAACAACGTCGGCCGGCGCGTCCAGCTGGGCGACGAGCTGGCGGCGGCCGTGGCCAACATCCTCTGGGGCATGCTGACCGGCGAGCGACGGGACGTCGAGGACACTGAGGTACAGGAGGCGGTAGCGGCTGCTGGCCACATGCTGCAGCGCTGGCACGCAGCGCGTCTGGCCGATGCGTTTCCCTGGGCCGAGCAGCTGGCGCTGATGCTGCTGCCGCCCGACCTGCCTCGAGAGCTGGACCAGCTGGCCGAGCGTCTCCTCGAGCCGACGCTGACCAAACTCCGCGGCGTCGCCGGCGCGGACCCTGACAAAGCGGCGGCCAGCTTCGCGTCGGCCTACCTCCAGGCACAGACGGCGCGACCGCTACTGCTGAGTGAGCAGCACCTGTCACACACCGTGCTGGACGTGCTGCTGACCGGCGGCGAGCCGACAGCCGCCACCCTCGAGTGGCTCGTCTGCTTCCTGTGCGCGCGGCAAGACGTGCAGGAGCGCGCACAGCAAGAGGTCGACCTCGCCATCGGCCACAAACGTCTGCCCACCTACGCCGACCGGGCGCGCATGCCCTTTCTGGAGGCCGTACTCATGGAGACCCAACGGCGCGCCGACGTCCTGCCGCTGGGAGAGCCGCACACGGCCGCACGCGACCTGTCTGTCGCCGGCTACAGGATCCCCCGCGGCGCCCAGATCACACCTCTGCTGCGGGCCGTCCACCTGGACCCGCAGCGCTTCCCCGAGCCACTGGCCTTCCGTCCGGAGCGGTTCCTGGACGCCACTGGGAAGCTGCTGCCCAACGAGGCTCTGCTGCCGTTCCTGGTCGGACGCCGCCAGTGCCCCGGACAGGCACTCGCCAGTGCTACTCTGTTCATTTTCCTAGCGGCCATCCTGCAGCGGTTCACGCTCCGGTTCCCACCGGGCTTCCAGCACGACTTCGGTGTGCTCTGCGACGGTGCACGCGTTCTGCGACCGAGGCCGTTCAAATTCGTACCAGAACTACGCGAGGAGTAAGGATTACGACCGCAGCAGAAACGGCTTCTGAGCGTAATGTGATGCATCGCACGTGCGGGTCGGCTGAAGTGTTAAATCGGAGCAGCAGAAGTTGATAGTTTTGACGTTTGATACACGAGCACTGCTGCCGAGTGCTGTCCTTCCATTGCCTTATACCTACCCAATCCCTCCAGTTGAGCCCCCGAGTTTACAGACACCCATGCCGTCTACAAGCTGATATTTTTATCCGATCGATGGCGAACCCTGCGCATGCTCTTTCCGCTCTCCAGCTCTTTTAACTCAATCAACAAATCACATACGGCTTCCTTAGAAATAGCGACATGATTAATCCATCTGAGTTTGTCGTACGATGGTGGGCGACGACGACGACGACTAATGTTTAATAGTTGTTGATCGGGGGAGTATAATGTATCCCAATCCCTTGTGTATTGAGTCATGCAGTCGTGCATAAGTGAGAATAAATGGCAATGCCACTTACTTGTGTCGCTGGTTGTAGAACTTGCTCTGACCCATCGCCGCGCCCATGATGAAGAACATGAGAATGGGATCCAGCAGGATATACTGATTCAGCGTCACCATACCGTTGTCTGTAATAGTAAACATCGGTGTTATTTTCCGCCATCGAAATTATATTTTCAGTTAAACCAAAAATGACCGATTACATTATTTCACGACGATTATATATCGAATTTAGCAGCGGCCATTTGGTACAACGATCGTCAAAATAAAACTAAATACATGTAGTTCTCTTTAATGTGGAAACAGTTCACTGGAAATGAGGAGGACGCGAAGAAACGGAGGGGAACCCGCTGAGCCCACTTACCGAACAGGATGGCGGCGGCGGCGAACGTAGCGGCTGGCAGCGCGTGAGTCAGCTCCCACACGGTGATAAAGGCCATCGGCACCAGCGCAGCGCCCATCATCGTGCAGCCCTGGCCAGGCATTGGTGCATGGTCAGGCAGGCTTTAGGTGGCTATTCACCTTCACCCTTACAGAAGCTAGGAATTAACTTAAAATTGTGCAAGTAAGAAGTAAAATAAAATTCCTTGCAGGAGAAAATTAAAGAAAACAAAAGTATGCCAAAATCTAAGTCTATTCCTTCATAAATATGTGATGTTCCTTCTTAAATATGACAAAAACCTTTTAGCCAGATTGCAGTTAAATAAAAGTACTGCATCCAAATGGTGAATAAAAGTAAACACAAAAATACTTACAAATCTCATGCCCAAGTAGTGTGTTTCATTGAACTTCTGTCCTGGTTTTTCAAACTCAAACTTCCCATCATAGCCAGTCAGATAACCAAAGGCAGCAATGAGCATCTGAAAAAGTGATTATGTTCAGGTGAGCATTAACAACTCCAATGCCAGGCAATGATACATTTCACATGCATATTTGAAAGAAATAAACTCATGACACTGAGATAAACAAATGCTGTTCATGAATAAGCTCTGAAAATAATGTTATGTAATTAAACAGACATTGTATGTTTACATTTTTGCATTTATCCCAGATTTTGAATAGCTACTTACCTTTCCAGTTGGAGGATGAACATCAAAGAAAAATGTTCTGTTGATATACCAGCTAGCCATTTTTCCAAAGTGAGTTTCATCCCATCTGTAACAGTGGAATGCAGGTGATGCTAGCATATGACAGTAAAATTCATAACAAACATTTTGAAATTATTTTTTTTTAATGAAAGTGCATTGAACAAGATTAATAGATGGCAGAATATGACATCAAAAATATATAAGTTTAAAAAACTTCAGCAAATAAAAATGATGTAGGTAAAATACAAACTGATACTGCTTTAACTCTAAGTTAAGTTGACTGGATACACAAAAGTTACATCTTAAACACAACTAGGACATAACTTACGCAACATGATCTGGTGAATCAAGGCGATAGAGCCTTGTTGCCATAGTCAAACAGAGTATGAGACCAAAAGTAGTCCACCACGTATGATCATCCTTGCTTTGCCTGAAATGAAAATGTGTTAGTTTTTTCAATATAGATATAATTTAAAGTTGTTGTCATTTAAGGTTAATCAAGAGACAGGACTTAAACAATATTGGCATGAACATAGCAAGCAGTCAGAGTCTGGACTCGGAAATCAAAAGAATTTGAATTGGCAAAATAGGTATGTTGTGGGAAAAATTATTTGCTGTGATACCAAGTGAGAAGAACACATTCAACTGAGAAAAACGAAAGTATAAGCTGGCATTTACAGATGTTTATCATCTGCAGCTTCAGCCGACACGTTGAACGTAGGCAGACAACCAGTCTTCGATATAGGCACACTAAAACCTACCTGAATTTATGAATCCATTTAGATATGCTCACAGGATCACCATCTGAACTTTTCGTAGTTTTTGCTTTCATCTTCGCACTCGCAGGTGCTTTTTTCCGTAATGCGGACTATCACACAACACACAACACCCCCAACCAGCTCAGGCGACGTAATGAAAACTGTGTTGAGCGCTGGGCTGCGGAGAAAGTAGCCGCAGGCTCGCCACGTATGCCTTATTTTGGTAGGTAGCTCTTGGCAGCTAAACACCTTTTTCTTTGGGCTTTTCTTGACGTATTTATAAATTTGTCTTGTGTAGGGACTTTAAATGAATAATAAACATATTAAAATGTTATTTTCGTTTTAATTCAAATAATTTATAGACAAATATTAAAAATTTTAATAAAAATTGTAACATTTTGTTTTATTTGACGTCATCAAACAACGCTTTTACATGACATCACCAATGTTTTCAACCTGGCTACGAAATGGCAATGACCTTGAAAGTGAAAGCATTGCACCGGGGGAGGATTACCTCGTGTGTTTTATCGGTAAGTGGTTGGACGCAAAAAACATAGTTGGACGCGAGCAAGGCTATGGACGCAAGAATAAGATACCTATGTTGGACGCTTGAGCCAAGCTGCTGCGCGCCCTAACTCTTCAACAACACAACAACAACATTATCGGTAAGTGTTTTTCTCGTCGAATTATTTCGGAACGGAGACCAGGCGGACCAGGTGACTGTTGATTGTTGATGAGTGATATGTTTAATATTGAAAATCATATTATAGATATGTCGTTCTAGCATTCAATCGGCTGTGTAGTGCGCATGAACTTGCAGTTCACCGTTTATAATCATGACTGCACGCTCAGTCTCTGATTTGCAAACACAATTTTATCAGAATTTTAGATGAAAAATGCGATGGTTTCTGACCCTCAAATTAAAATTAGAAATCATCAGCTTCTTGTGACCGGGAACACCAGCATGCTCCCTCGTTTTTTCGCGAAGCTCTAGCTCAAACGGGTTGAACTGCTAAAGGGCCCGATCGATTACCCCCCCCCCCCATAATCATCAAGACCCCCTTACGCCGGCGGTTGGGAAAGCGTCAATACGAAACCATGGGCCATCGGTGAATGTAATGAAAAAATGTTCACCCATCAGCCATCTTAGTTCAGAAGCTGTATGTGTTGGACGCTGAATTGCAATCCCTCTCCCTCCACATGGCCCATGTGTGGGGGTTGTTACTTTTTAGCACTTAGCGTCGCTCAAAAGGCCCTTCCCAAGTAGGTTTATATTGTGCTCCGTTGCGAGTTCACACGCGTCACACACTGAATTGGCGGTGATTGGAGCCTGCTAGCTAAGGCATACCAATGCAAATGGGCGGCCGACCGGCAAGCGGCCGGCCGACCCAAGGCTAGGCCGACCCAAGCGGCGCCGTTTTGGTCTTCCGCCGGGGACGGTGGACAGATCATCATGGAACTTGGAAGAGCAGTCTTCTACTTTTCTACATACCGTGGCAAGAGTAATACGAGCATGACCTTTGGTCGGGTTCCAACTGATTCGACTCAGTTGCTTGGCGCCGTTGCCTCCGTTATACGGCAGTTTTACTTTACCGCTGGCGTAGGATCATGTTACAGCGTATCTTGCATGGTATCTATTATTATATAGTAAAGTAATCTTGATTGGCCATGACCTCACAACTGCACTGGGCTATCAAACTAATTATCGCATTTTACCGAACCATCACAGCTCATTTAGGTACCGATCCCAGAGATCGGTGAATCAATGTCACCAAGAGAGACTGACTGTCAGTCGTCTCAGTGCCAATAAGTAAGAAGCTGTGATAACGTTCAACACCGAACAGTGAACTGCGGTGCACGTAGTTTTTTAGCATTAGGGCCTTGCGGTACAGGATATATTGAGTGAATTGCTGTTCACCTGCGGAAGCCCCCTATCATAAAGGTGCCTGCCCCTGGCGGCAATGGAAAATGCCACACGGGACCGGTAAATGGTTTCGGGAGGACGCGCGGTCGTTGTTAATGTTCCGTTGTCGTCTTTCCTTCCAGGAAACAAGAATTTCATATAAGAAGAGCTAACTACCCTTCACCGAATATCAACGAAGCAGTGTTCTCAGGTGAAGGTAAGTCCTAACTCCTAGTTGCCACGCACGTCCTCTAGATAAATGCCGATGTCAGTGGGGATAGCACCGAGCACGTTTGCGGACTCAGAAAGGTGGCAATGAATGTTGCGGAGAGCATGCTTAAAAAGTCTCGAAAATGAAAACTGTCATGATTTCACTCCCATAAGCGTTGCTGTGCGATTTCGCAAATCGTTCTGTGCGAGGAATACGACACAATTTCTTTTTCGGGCGCTGCGGGATATTCAAATGCCCCAATTACCCCCTCCCTGAATCCGCTAGTATTCGGATACATATTTAGTAATTTCAATTCGGTTTGCGTCTTTTATATTACTTTGTGAATCGGAGAGCGCATATTCTTTCCGGAGACCGCATATTCTTTTGTTTACAGTTGTTTTTAGCCAACGTGAGGGGTGCCGTCGTGGCTCAGTAAGTTACACTTCCACAAATTTTACACTCTTAAAACCGGCTTCACGTGCGCTCCTATCCTTGCTTGCCGGCCTTATCCTTGACTGTCCGGTTTCTTCCGCTAGATGCATGGCCTCCGCTCCCGACCTACTGAATCAGTCCTTTGTTGGCGTCAGTTTCTACTTTTGGTCGTCTGACTTTTTCTGGTCGTCTGCCCTCCGCTAAGTTGGTCCATTTGTCGCCGGACCGATGCAGCGTCGTCCACTGTGCCGTGATGTTCCTCGATCTGACAGAGGAACCAGGCGCTGCTGAAGTCACAGTCCATGGCAGCCCACTCGCCCTCCTTGCCGTAGTTGATGAAGGCGCAGTCGCCGAGCGGCTGGCCGTCCCACCAGTTGTCAAAGTCGTACTGGGAGCCGTCAGACCAGCGCCAGGGCGACGTGGCGGCGAGTCGGCTCAGGCCCAGCCACGCCGCTGTGCCATTGGCCACTGTCTCGGCCAGGAAGGCGTTCTGTAACAGATCGTGGATGGAGACCGACCGGGCGCCCGGTGTGCCGTAGTCGCAGATGTTGTCCACTGTGTACCACGGCGCGAAGATCTGCACCACGCGGTAGCACATGCCGTTGGTGTAGGGGATCCAGTCGTCGGACGGACAGCAGGAGCAGGCGACGATAGCCGAAAGCAGCAACACCACGTGAGGGCTCGACACCATGGCGAGCGGCTGAGTCCAGACAAACTGTCCAGACGAGGGCGCGTTGCGTACTCCGGACGAGACGCACGGCATCACAAATGCTGTATGTAGTTAGTCTACCTTGTGATGCGAGCGGGACTTAACTGCTGTTCAAACGGTTCCTCGTCGAGGCTGCTGCTCAAACGGTTCCTCGTCGGGGCACGTCTGTCTCTGCTGCAGATCACTGATGCCACTCTTTCCGCTCGACTCGTTTGCACCGTTACTGAGACTCCTGTGAGACGGATCCCTACCATTGCGACAGCTGGTTGCAGACCGTGAGAACGGCCATGTGTGAAGGGACAGTAGACAGACGCGACCTCAGCTGCAGGTGAGAACGGGCGATATAGGTGCACCGCGCTACAGCAACATGATAATTATGTTCGTGTTGAGTAGGGGGGGGGGGGGGGAGGTAAGTGTTTGAAATGTGCGTAATTTTTCACCGATTTACCTCCTGAACGGGACTGCGTTGTCTTACCGATTACTTAGCACCTAATTGCGTCTTTCAGTGTAGTGTACTTTTGTCGTTCAGAGTCCGTGGTCCAATCCAGTCAATGGCAATCCACTCGCTTGCCTGTCACAGTTGATAAACGTGCAATCGCCGTACGCCTGGCCTCTCCATCAGTTATCGAAGTTCGCCCTTCATATGTTTCGAAAGTAACGTCGATTGCGTGCATAAATATATTTTTTCATCGCAACCAGCGGTGCCGTATAGATAACGGGCTATGCTGCTTCCTATACAGGAGTGAGTTTCATTCGAATGAAAAATGTTGTCGATCCATGTCATCATCACATTTCACGCAGCGTTGAAGTCATATTGCCTATTTCTTGTCGCAGACGGTGGCGAAGTCTCCCTGGCAGAGGGCGTAGTTGATGACGTGGTGGATCACGTTCTCCTCCAGACTGCCACGCAGGAGGTGGGCGCCCGGACCACGCGCGAAGATGCCCACATCCTCTCCTCCGTGGGTCTCCTTGGGCAGGTAGATGCCGGCGATCTGCTTGTAGTGCGGGTCGCGCCACTCGGCCGTCTCGCTCATGTCGGTCAGACGAGCGCGCTTGGCCTCGAACTCAGCCCAGTCCTCGGTGCCTCCCGGACCATTGGCGTACTGCATGATGGGGTAGGGTAGCTTGGGCGGCGGGCCTCCCTTCTGCATGCCGCCAGCCAGGAAGGAGGACGGGCCGAACATGTCCAGGCCGCGCTCCGGGTAGCCGTTGATACCGAAGGTGTGCGAGTGATCCGAAGAGACCACGATCAGCGTCTCCGACTCGTCAGTGTTGTCCATGACGTGCTGGACGACCTCCTCCAGCTCGATGGTCTCGTCGATGGCTGTGTACGCGTTACCGTAGTGGTGTCCGTGGTCGATCTTGGCGCCCTCCACGAACAGCACGAAGCCATTCGGTCCGCGCTTCAGGATCTCCAGAGCTTTCTTCACCATCTCGGTCAGGTTGACGTCGTCGGGGGTCTGGAAGGCGCGGTACTGCATGTGGCTGCGGCTGAACAGACCCAGCACGTAGTCGGCAGAGGTGGCGTCGAAGTTGTTCAGCTCATCCTTGGTGGTGAGGTAAGCGTAGCTGCGTCCCAGGGAGGCCTGCTTGTCCTTCCACTCCTGGATCAGGTCACGGCCATCCAGACGGGAGCCACCCTCGACCTCCTTCGGCGTGAACTTGCCCCAGCCGCCACCGAAAGCGACGTTGATGTCAATGCCCTCACGCTCGACGAACTGGGTAGACAGGTCCTTCATGGCGTTCTTGCACGAGTCCTTGACGGGTCCAGTCATCCATTCCATGGCGACGAAGTCGGCATCGGACTCCCAGGTACGGTAAGCAGTGTGGCCGAAGGTGGCAGCGGGAGAGGCGTGCGTGATACGGGCGGTGGACACCAGACCGACCCACTTACCGGCCTCCACTCCGTAGCGGAGGATCGACTTGGGCGAGGAGGCCTCGTTGACGGCATCGCAGTTCCAAATGAGGACGGAACAGTCGACACCGACCGTGAGGAAGTTGCCCTTGGCGCCGGTCAGGTAGGCAGTGGCCGTGGAGGCGGAGTCGGCCGTCCAGCGATCGCAGTTGTACGTCTTGGACAGTCCCAGGTAGGGGAAGGTCTCCCAGGAGAGCATGGCGTGCTCGGGCACATCAGCGCCGCTAAGGAGACCCTTGCGCTTCCTGGCGGCCGCCAGCGTAGCGATAGACATACCGTCTCCGATGAAGAGCACGGCGTTCTTGGCCTGGTGATCGTACACGGGATCGGCCAGCTTGGTCCTCAGGATGTCCTGGGCGATCTCCTTCCAGAACACCGAGTCCAGCACCTTACCGGAGCGGGAGAGGGAGGCGCCGTCGCCGAGGCCCATCTTCTGCTGCACCTCCTGGTAGGTGGGCGCGTTCATCTCGTGCATCTCCAGCTCGTCCTGGTCCTCGACCCGGGAGTCGAGGGGCACGGCCACGGCCACGGCCGCCACGCAGGCGGCGACAACCAGCAGCTTCATCGTCAGTTGTGGTTGTGGACTGTTGACACTCACTGTCTTCAGTGAGGCTCTGCCGATACCCAAACCGCATGCCAATATATACGTGGTCTGAAGATTGAGGACATCTGTGTGTCATGGTATAATTGTAGATATTATTCAATTATCACATTATGGTAATGTTCACCGATGGATGATTGTGGTTAACCACCAGCACATGTTCAGAAAATTGGTGACACTTGGCGCTTGTTCTGATCTGGTTAGCATACCTTTGCTAATTGCTAACCATTCGTGATCGCTTCGGTAAATACATACGTATTTGCGGCACACTTCTGTGTGATTTGAAATATCTATTATTCACCAGGTTTATATGCATATGCGATTTCGGTTTTTGAACCATCTTTCCTTGATTCACTTCCCTGTTGAAGTGTATCATGTCATGCACCTTGGTCTGGGATGTCACACTGATGGACGCTGAAAAAATACACGCTAGGACATCCTATACCTAAACGTTGATGCATCTCAAGCAATTGTCATGTATCTTCTATTTTTCCTCGAGTAGTGTCATAAGTGAAGGTCCCTGGTGGAATCAAGTTAGACAGCATCGGGCGCTGCGGGGCGTCTGATCCTCCCTAAAAAGTTTTTCCTAATTCAACTACCCGAATTTCCTTTTTTATGTAGCTGTATGGTTAACCATAGGTGTCCGGCTACACCTATGGTGTAGCCGGACCTATTGGTTTTCTGCAAACACGCCGGCCGAGAGGAGGAGGTTGTTATGTTACCTACTCTTATGACGCCCCCGCGCCATTTCACCCCTCATGGAGCCAGAGTGTCGCGAGAAAAGCGAGCGTGTGCGCCGTTACAAGACGCAACGACTGGTACCCTATTTTAATGTCTCAGGTCAACTGGTGACCTTTGAGGTCAGGTCAAGTGACCCAAGGTACGGGTTCCTTTTTTTATAAATAATCACAAAAACGGTCGCAGCGCCGGGATTTTGGCATCATCGTGACTGCATAGCTCAGGCGCGTTGAATTGTATGCTTTTTGCTCGGATGAGGTCAAATTGAGGTGTTGAAATCGGGTCAAGGTTGGGCCAGGGCCCGCTAGGCCACGAAGTTGGTTTAAGGAGGTCATATCGCATATCATTCGATTCGGCATGTCTTCCTTAGTCCATTGGTGGCTTTCGCGACTCGCTAGCTCAATTTGATCGGGAGTTACTGACCAAAACTCACCATTTTAGTGCAGTTATGCAGCGTGCATTATTTAAAGAATAATGCATCGGACCTTGCAAGGAGTTCATGACATCACGATTCCGTGTGCTGAATTCCGTTTTGAGATCGTTCCCGGCGCCAAAATAGCAGTTTTCATGTTTCCCTATTGGCTTATAATGGTGAGGTCGCGTGACCGACCTGACCTCGTGTGACCTCTAGTAAAAATCTGAGATATACAAGTTGTGAGACCTCTGGATGATACTACGTCCTGTAAGTTTCATCTTCCTGTAAAAGTTCCTCTGACACTGAGCGCGTTGCGAAGTTGCGACATCTGAGGACTGTGCAGAGGTTCACTTATGACGTCATAGGTCAGTGACCTGACCTGCCATGAAATTTGAAAATACGACTGGTGTCACAAAATCTGGCTTGAATCAAAGTTCATGTATGCCAAGTTTCAGCTCTCTATCGCTGGCGTGTCCGGAGCTATTACCTAAAAAACTACAGGGGGGGGGGGCGTCACCCCGTCGGCCGGCGAAAGATAAGTCAATGGGAGAAAATTGAAATGTACGGCCCTCCAGCAAAAGAGTGGTTGGTTTGCCTATGTGCTTTTGGTGTAATAACTTTGAATGACAGAGACACTCCTGTAAAATGTCTCAATAGAAATGAGAAGAGGGTTCGTGCACACACTTCGGCAATGGTTTTCAACAGCCATTAGGCACATTAACCCGCGCCCTGCTGGGGGGGGGTGTTTGAACACCCCCTTGTGGTTTTTCGCGAATATCTCAAAAACGGCGGCGCGGAGCGCCGCCGTTTTTGGTACACCTTATCATACATCAATTCTACACATGTTGTGAAAATTTCAGACCAAGGTCATTCAAGGTCAGGTCACCAGGTCACTTGAAGTGACCTTACCTCATAAAAAGTTTCAATGTCTGTCATAGCTACACCGAGTGACCGATCGCTTTGAAACTTTCAGCGATTGCTAAGAGCAATAGCATGTACAAAATGTATATCTCAGAATTTTGATATCGATGACCTAAGGTCAGGTCAATTTTGCGACCTCCCCATTATAAGTCAATGGGAGAAAATTGAAATGCGCCTCTTTTGGAGAAAAGACATTATAAACACTCTCAAACACCGAATTACAAGTGGTTTAGACACACTGAACATGAAAATGGTGTCCGTGACCCTTGTTTATGCCCTGAGGTCATCTTAGGTCACGAATGGTATCTAACAGTTTTTCGCAAATAACTTTTGATAGAGGCATGCTAGAGCGATGAAAACGCCTTAGATGTGTTCAGCTCGACGATACGGATCGACTGATATGCAACATGACCTTTCCGGTCAGGTCATGACCTTGACCTGAGGTCAAATTTTCAAGTTGACCTTTCAAGGTCAACTTATAGTTCATTCGATGCGTCTTGAC